CGAATATCCGCGCAGTCGGGTTGGTCTGGAAACGCTGACCCTGTACGAAGATATCCGTAGTGAAGAAGGCATGCCTCCATGAATAGCTGGTACCTGCCAAAAGTTGAAGCCATGAATGAACTTCAGGCATGGTGGCGTTAGGAGCAGCGGCAAGACGGTAGATGATCTTGTTCTCAAGCTCTGAGATAGTGAGGCCATCAACCTCCAGACCCTGGGGAGGAGCGAGCAGATTGCTGCCAAAGTATTCGATGACAGGGACCTTTGACTCATCGTCACCATAGATGTCGCGGAGCAGGTACTTGATATGACCCTCATGGACACCATCAAGAATCTCCTTGATCGGCTCGTCAACCTTTGTAGAGTATTTGACAGCCATAGGCCCTTGCAGGATACATGTCCTGCCAACGTCCTGATCCACAACAGCATCAAGGTCTTCGGATTGCCAAAGAGAATCCTTCTTGAAGAAGAACTCAAAGGTATCGTCGAGAACTGGAACAAATGGAACAGGCTTTTGACCACGGCGCTGGCAGAGCAGCAAGAAGTGCTGCACATCCTGAGCGTTGATGAGCTGGTCATTAGCCTCAGGGTAAGCCTTGAAGACCTTCTCGAGCATTGGGAAGGGGTCGTTGAGCTCTTCATAGTTCTGAATCAGAGACTCGTTACTGGTCTTGCTGAACCGTTCCTCCAAACGGCGGATAAAGTCGCCTGTCAGGCGCTTCAAGCTTGGATCGATCCAGCGAGACTGGTGCTTGACGTACATCAATTCCACCATGCGTTGAACAACTTCGGCGTAGGTCATGTCCTCGAGATCGACAGACATGCCCTTCTTGTTCTTGCCGAACCAGACCTTTTGGAAGTCCTTGTTCAACTTGTCAATAATGTACTCGCGCATCTTCTTCAGCTCGGGAACGCGCTTGGCCTTGTCAAGGCTGAAAATCTTCTGGTCCATCTCGTGCCAGAAGATGACACCACGAGTAGCAAGCTTGTGAATGGGTTCACCCATTTCGGAGCGAACAGTGATGACACCACCAGCAGGGCCCTTGTAGGTCTTTTCCCATTCGCTGTCCTCAAGACCCGGAGCATCAACAATGGCCTGCTTAGCCATCTTGGACGTGTGGGCTTCCTTGGCGGTCATAACACGGCTACCAAACAAGCATCCATCAAAAGGCATGGGTGGGTAGCCGAACTTGGTTGACCAGGATCCGGTGAGATATGGGTAGGTATCTTCAGCGCCACCGAAGCCGGAGCCAGCAACAAGAATGAGGTTGTCGCACTTGCGCAGACGGCTGTACATTTGGAGAATGGGCTGGTGGAAGTCCTCAAATGAGTGGTGACCACCACCACGACCACCGGTCCACTGAAGAAGGACAGGGAAAGTGGGGTTTGCCTTGGCGATATTTATGGTCTGTTGGATAGCCTCAACCGAACCTGGCTTGAAAGCAATGTGCTTTATTCCGAGCGTCTCAATGTACTCGTTGGCGACTTCAATAGATGGAACACCAGCACCAATGGTAAGACCCTCAATGGGAACTCCGTCGGCCCTGAGTTTTGCCAGGAGGGGAATCTGCCAACCCATAGCACGCGGGTTGACGTAGATCAAGTTGACTGTGATACCCCTGCCAGCAGGAATGGCCTTCTCAACCTTGGAGATGGCGGCAGTCATGGTCTTCTCATTGTAGTAACCACCACCAGCAAGTTCAATTTCGTAGCCTGCGTTCATTGTCGCTGCAACAAAGTCCCATGGTACTGTGCAGGGTGTCATACCAGCGACCATGACTGGAGGTAGGCCGAGTGTGCGACTCATCTTGGTGTCGACATAGGTCTGACCAGTAGAAGTCTTGACAAGCCGAGGGCCGTGTTCCTTGACCCAGTCGACAGCATACTTGACAGCATGGTCGAAGTCGCGGTCAAAGATCTCAGGCTTGTACCCGACTTCGGCATTCTGGCCATCAATGGCACCAGCAAGGATGACGCGGACACCAGTACCGTCCTTGTTCCGGTTTGTTAAAACGCCGAGACCAGAGATGCCACCAGGGCCGAAGTCAAGGATGTGGGTTGCCTTGGGGAATACCGTGGCCTTTTCCCATTCTACTGAGTCGGCAGTGATCATGCGGACGAGTCTTGGCACAATGTCATCCGTATCGGTCTCGCGTAGGTCTTGGCCAGTGTGAGTATCGTACATGGGGATGCCAAGGTCGGCGGTGGAGATTTTGATAGCCTTGAGATCATCCTCGAGCTGCTTGGTCGCATCTGCGAGGTACGGGCTGTGGAATGGGGCTGTGATGGGCAGGAAACGGTTGACAAAGCGTACTTTGCGCTCTGTGAAAGGTATCCTGGTCTGGTCCAAGCCGGTAGGAGCCTTGTCTTTGCGCAGACGAAGGTTCAGACCGTACAGGGAGATGGGCGGGCCCGTCACAACAAAGTTGCGCGCACTGTTGACAAGAGAAATGGCAATGTGACGGTCTTCGGGCAAATGAGCGTTGGTCGCATCAATGTGGTCCTGGACCGCCTTTCTTGAGAGATCACGGATCGACAACATAGGTGTCGGTGTGCCCTCGCCATTGTCAATTGAATCTTGAAGTACGGTAGGCGCGAGTGATGTCCTTGGGAAGGCTTGTTGACTTCGCGTACCAATCCAGAAGAGAATCTCAATAGCCTTCTTGGCAGCTCGCTCGAAGGTCTCCCAGTTCTTCGCTTCGGCGATGGCGGCTGCTGTGACCACACCTTGCGAGTGACCAGTAACACCGCGCAGACGGCTTCGCACATGGCCTGGATGGCTTCCGAGAACTCTGCAGGTCACGACATAATGCGCAAGCTGTGTCAACCCAATCAAGGGCAAACTGACGGGTGCAGACACCAGGTAGTCGGTGTCGGGTTGCGAGTCTCGGTTGTTGAGCCATCGCATTACATCAAGGCCCTTGGAGTAGAGCTTCTCAGCGCGCGGGTCTCGCGACAGCTGCAATAGATGTTGTGCTTCCGCGGCAATGAAATCTTCTACAAATGAGGGGTAGGTATTGTAGATCTCGCGGAGCTCATCAAAGTACTCCTCGATGTTTCCCTGTCCACCCAAAACAGCGTATATGAAGGCGTTCTCGTCTGAGGCTTCGCGGAAAAGCGCCGACTCGTGGTGTTTGATGGGTCGCTCTACGGCGGCGCGAGCAGCGTAGTATGACCGCACCGTCACCAGCTTCTTCTCAGTGATGCCAGGCAGCGAAGCGGCCAGCGCATGCACCTCGTTTCCGCGCAAGAAAGCACGCTCGAATTCGGTGAGGACTAGCTTAAGGACCTCCTCGAACGAGTCAGGGTCTTCGCCCTCCTCTACCTCCTTGGCTACGAAGCCCAGGTACCGAGCCACCAGCTCAGGCACCGAGGATGGTTCATCATCTTGGGCAAGCTCGTCGGTGGGCTCGGGAAGGGTAGAGGTGAATGTATCTCTCAGCTGCTGCGCATTGAAGTGCAGAGCAGTGGGAATGAGGAGCGTGTACTCGAGCGAGCCGTGGGAGAGGATGAGCGGGCGCAGGTTTGCCGCTGATCGGGGCGTGGAGATGCCCGTCTGCTGGCCGGAACCGTACATGGCTGTGGGGATTGGGATTACTTGGTGCCCTGTGGAATGGCGGGCGTCAGCTAAGTGTTTGTTTTTGTGGGTGCTGGTGGCGGGCGGGGCACAGATTCTTGGGGAGTTTGGGAGGAGAGATGATGGGAGGCAGGAAGCAGTGGGTGGGAAGCGGGAAGCGGGAAGCAGAAGGCGCATACCTTGGGACTGATTATGGCTCTATGGAAAGAGCGACTTTGAGCGGGAAAGAGCGTCTGAGCAGCGTGAGTACTCTAGGCGAGCGAGGAGGGCGGGGAAGGAGCGATGGCGGTGCAAGCAATTGAAGACACAGCTGGGGACCAATTGCTCGCAGCCAGCAGCCAATGCGTACCTCTTCACTCAGACAGAAGTCAATCTGGCCACAGTGGGTGTGTGGGTATGGTCGTGTGCGCGGGAATTGGTGTGTACTGCTAGGGGTGTGGTGTAGCAGCTCCCGTGCTGGGTGCGGTAAGTGTTGCGAGCGGCGTCGAGGGTCAACCGCAGGCAACAGGAATTGGAGAGAGGGGCCCCGGGGGTTTTGAACAAAAGACACTCGACAGTGCTCAGGCAATTGGGGTGGGGAGAGCAGGAGAGCAATGAGTCGGAGGCGGTGCGCTGGCGTGGATTATGATGGCGCCGTTCTCGTCGACTTTTTCGACGAGCACCTCACAAATGGGCCCGCATCGTATGCATGGGTGGCTAGGGCCAGCAGGGGTCCACGCTACGGTACGCAGACTATTATGTTCCTACACAAACTGCTGGGGGGCTCTACTCAACAACTCGGATCGCCGACGCATGCATCCGATGGCACGCAGCTGTTGAGCATCCGGCCGCCCAGATAATGTCGCGACCCAATCCTGTTGTCGTCTTTTGCGGCTGCCTTGTGCAGTGCTCAGTGGCCCTCGCAAGCCCAACTGTTCCCGGCGACATGGGGGCACTGCGTCGTGGAGCATCGGCCAAAGCAGTAACGAGCTGCAGTGCCCGACAGGGATCCGGGAATTTTAGTGAGCAGCCAGAGCATGGAGGCGGGCGAAATCCTCAACGGCCCTGCCAGCAACAACCAAAGGCCACGCCGCTGTCCTTTACCCAACCGATAACCCGTCAATGCGTTGGGCCTGGCCTCCCTGCAACACCCGCTCGAAGCTTTTTTTCTTCACTGCCCGCCAGACAAAGTTTCCGCGGGGACAGGCAAACAAACTGCAACCCCTCCCGGACCCTTGATCCGCATCACAGTCGTGCCCTCACCGCACCATACACTACCCACTACCCACCTAATAGCGCGTCTTTCCCCTGGCGCCTCTCTGCCCTCCTTGTCCCACGAGTCCTTTTGTCTATTTTGTGACTGAGATACCCCATTGAGCTCCGTCGAGCCTCAACCCACGCTTCCTCCTCCACCTCCTCCTCCTCCGCCCTCGACACCCACCTCACCATGCGTCCAGAGGTCGAGCAGGAGCTCTCCCACACGCTGCTCATTGAGCTGCTCGCATATCAATTCGCCTCGCCTGTCAGGTGGATTGAGACGCAGGATGTCGTCCTCGGTGAGAAGACGACGGAGCGCATCGTCGAGATTGGCCCCGCAGACACACTCGGCGTAATGGCAAAGCGCACACTGGCCAGCAAATACGAAGCACACGATGCTGCCCGGTCACTGCAGCGTCAAATCCTCTGCTACAACAAGGACGCAAAGGACATCTACTACGATGTAGACCCCATAGAGGAGGAGCCAGAGGCTCCAGCTTCCGCCCCAGCTGCCTCCTCGTCTGCCCCCGCTGCATCGGCGCCCGCTGCTGCTGCCGCTCCACCACCACCGAGCGCTGGGCCTGCAGCTCAGGTTCCAGATGCACCAGTCACGGCTACTGACATTCTGCGGACGCTCGTGGCCCAGAAGCTCAAGAAGCCCCTCATGGACATTCCGCTATCCAAGGCCATCAAGGATTTGGTCGGAGGTAAGACCAATTGCACACCCACAATCCACTACTCCAACTAACTTGTACTTCCAGGCAAGTCTACCCTCCAGAACGAAATCCTCGGAGACCTGGGCAAGGAATTCGGCTCCACCCCAGAGAAGCCTGAAGACACCCCTCTCGACGAGCTCGGTGCTTCAATGCAGGCTACCTTCAATGGTCAGCTTGGAAAACAATCTTCTTCCCTCATTGCACGTATGGTGTCCTCCAAGATGCCTGGTGGCTTCAACATCACAGCTGTGCGCAAGCACCTCGAGACAAGGTGGGGGTTGGCGCAAGGCCGACAGGACGGAGTCCTGCTGCTCGCCATCACCAACGAGCCACCCGCGCGTCTTGGCTCTGAGGCTGAAGGCAAAGCCTTCTTGGACGAGCAAGCGAACAAATACGCAGGCATTGCCGGAATTAACTTGTCTGCTCCTACAGCCGGCGGCGATTCTGGCGGTTCTGGTGGCGGCATGATGATGGACCCTGCGGCCATTGACGCCCTGACCAAGGACCAACGCCAACTTTTCAAGCAACAGCTTGAGTTGTTTGCGCGATACCTCAAGATTGACTTGCGCTCGGGCGACAAGTCTTTTGTCGATTCACAAAAGGCCCAGTCTGCGCTTCAAGCCCAGCTTGATCTCTGGACTACTGAGCATGGCGAATTTTATGCGTCTGGAATTGAGCCTCAATTTACGCCGCTCAAGGCGCGTGTCTACGATTCATCGTGGAACTGGGCTCGCCAAGATGCCCTCACCATGTACTACGATATCATCTTCGGCAAGCTCAAAGCTGTTGATCGTGAAATCGTCAGCCGCTGCATTGCCATCATGAACCGATCAAACCCACTGCTCCTTGACTTCATGCAGTACCACATGGACCACTGCCCTACTGAGCGCGGTGAAACCTATGAGCTTGCAAAGGAGCTTGGTCAACAACTCATTGACAACTGCAAGGAGGTATTGAACGAGGCACCCGTCTACAAGGATGTCGCCATACCCACCGCACCTCACCTTGAGATTGACCCCAAGGGCAACATGAACTACCAAGAAGTTCCAAGAGCGAGTGTTCGAAAGCTTGAGCATTACGTGCGCGAGATGGCTGAAGGAGGAAAGCTGTCCGAGTACGGCAACCGAACAAAGGTCCAAAACGACCTGCAAAGAATTTACAAGCTCATTAAGCAGCAACACAAGCTTTCCAAATCATCGCAGCTGCAGATCAAGAGCTTGTACAGCAACGTCATTCGCTCTCTTTCCATGAACGAGGGCCAGATCATGCCTAGTGAGAACGGCAAGTCTGTCGGTGGCAAGCGGGGCCGCAATGGTCGCGTCCACGCCTCTAAACAAGGCAAGGTCGAAACCATTCCCTTCCTGCATCTCAAGAGGAAAGATGATCACGGTTGGGAGTACAGCAAGAAGCTGACCGGTGTCTACCTCGACTGTCTTGAGGATGCCGCCAAGTCTGGTGTCACATTCCAAGGCAAGTACGCTCTTATGACAGGTGCCGGTGCAGGTTCCATTGGTGCCCAGGTCCTCCAGGGCCTCATCAGCGGTGGAGCCAAGGTCGTTGTGACGACTTCTAGGTTCTCACGCGAAGTCACTGAGTACTACCAATCTATGTACTCACGCTATGGTGCTCGCGGCTCCCAGCTGATTGTTGTACCTTTCAACCAAGGCAGCAACCAGGACGTTGAGGCCTTGATCGACTACATCTTCGACACCAAGAAGGGTCTCGGCTGGGACCTTGATCTCATTGTTCCTTTCGCCGCTATCCCCGAGAATGGCCGTGAGATTGACAGCATTGACTCCAAGTCTGAGCTCGCACATCGCATCATGTTGACCAACCTCTTGCGTATGCTCGGAGCTGTCAAGAAGCAGAAGCAGGCTTACGGTTATGAGACACGCCCAGCACAGGTCATTCTTCCCTTGTCGCCCAACCACGGCACTTTTGGCAACGATGGTCTCTACTCGGAATCCAAGATTTCACTGGAGACTCTGTTTTCAAGGTGGCACTCAGAAAGCTGGGGTAACTATCTCACGATTTGCGGTGCCGTCATTGGCTGGACCCGTGGAACCGGACTTATGGGCGCCAACAACATTGTCGCCGAAGGTATCGAGAAGTATGGTGTACGTACCTTCTCTCAGCAGGAGATGGCCTTTAACCTGCTTGGTCTGATGGCACCACCGATTGTCAACCTGTGCCAGGTCGAGCCCGTTTGGGCAGATCTCAACGGTGGCTTCCAGTACATCCCCAACCTCAAGGACCTCATGACAGACCTCCGCAAGGAACTCACGGAAACGAGTGATATCCGCAGGGCTGTCATCAAGGAAAATGCCATTGAGAACAAGGTTGTCAATGGTGAGGCGAGCGAGGCTCTGTACAAGACAGCCAAGATCGAACCCCGTGCGAACATGAAGTTCGATTTCCCCAAGCTCCCTGATTGGGATACCGAAGTCAAGCCTCTTAACGAGAACCTCAAGGGCATGGTCGACCTTGAGAAGGTTGTTGTCGTCACCGGCTTTGCCGAGGTTGGTCCCTGGGGCAACTCGAGGACGCGCTGGGAGATGGAGGCCTACGGCGAGTTCTCCATTGAAGGATGTGTTGAGATGGCCTGGATCATGGGTCTTATCAAGAACCACAACGGTCCTCTCAAGGGCAAGAGCTACTCTGGCTGGGTCGATGCAAAGACAAACGAGCCAATTGACGACAAGGACGTCAAGCCAAAGTACGAAAAGTACATTCTTGAACACTCTGGTATCCGTCTCATTGAGCCAGAGCTGTTCAACGGCTATGACCCCAAGAACAAGCAGCTCATGCAAGAGATCCAGATTGAGGAGGACCTTGATCCTTTCGAGGCATCCAAGGAACTAGCGGAAGAGTTCAAGAGGGAGCACGGTGACAAGGTTGAAGTCTTCGCCATTGAGGACTCAGGCGAGTACACCGTCCGGATGAAGAAGGGTGCTACTCTTCTGATCCCCAAGGCCCTGCGCTTCGACCGCCTTGTTGCTGGACAGGTCCCGACTGGTTGGGATGCTAAGAAATACGGTGTGCCTGATGATATCATCTCACAAGTCGACCCGGTAACACTATTCGTGCTTGTTTCCACTGCCGAGTGTCTGCTTTCCAGCGGTATCACCGACCCCTACGAGTTCTACCAGTATGTCCACCTTTCTGAAGTTGGTAACTGCGTCGGTTCCGGTATTGGTGGTACTACTGCCCTTCGAGGAATGTACAAAGACCGCTTCATGGACAAGCCAGTCCAGAAAGACATTCTCCAGGAGTCCTTCATCAACACCATGAGCGCCTGGGTCAACATGTTGCTCATGTCGTCCACCGGTCCCATCAAGACCCCAGTTGGTGCCTGCGCTACTGCTGTCGAATCTATTGACATTGGTTATGACACGATCGTGGAGGGCAAGGCTCGCGTCTGCTTCGTTGGTGGTTTTGATGACTTCCAGGAGGAAGGCTCGTACGAATTCGCCAATATGAAGGCCACTAGTAACGCTGAAGATGAGTTCGCCCATGGTCGCACACCGAGGGAGATGTCCCGTCCTACCACAACCACCAGGAACGGATTTATGGAGTCTCAAGGTTGCGGAATGCAGGTCATCATGGACGCAAAGCTTGCTCTCGACATGGGTGTTCCCATTTACGGAGTACTCGGTTTCACTGCCACCGCAACCGACAAGATTGGCCGTTCAGTTCCTGCTCCTGGCAAGGGTGTGTTGACAACTGCACGCGAGAACCCATCCAAGTTCCCCTCGCCCCTGCTTGACATCAAGTACAGGAGGCGCCAGATGGACCTACGACGTAAGCAGATCAAGCAGTGGCAGGAATCAGAAGTCCTCTACCTCCAAGAGGAGGTCGCAGCCATGAAGGATGTTTCTGGTGATGACTTCGATGAGTCGGCCTATCTCGAGGAGCGCGTTGCAAACATTGAAGCGGAAGCCAGGCGACAAGAGAAGGACGCGCTCAACAGCTTGGGCAACAACTTCTGGAAGCAAGATCCCCGCATCGCTCCTCTTCGTGGCGCTCTTGCGACATGGGGTCTTACAATTGACGACCTTGATGTTGCCTCTTTCCACGGCACTTCGACTGTTGCCAACGACAAGAACGAATCCGACGTTATCTGCCAGCAGATGCGTCACCTCGGCCGCAAGAAGGGAAATGCACTACTTGGTATCTTCCAGAAATACCTCACTGGTCACCCCAAGGGTGCTGCTGGTGCATGGATGTTCAACGGCTGTCTGCAGGTGCTCAACACTGGTCTCGTACCAGGCAACCGCAACGCCGACAACGTCGACAAGATCATGGAGAAGTTCGATTACATTGTGTACCCATCGCAAGCTATCCAGACCGATGGTATCAAGGCTTTCTCTGTTACTTCTTTTGGTTTCGGACAAAAGGGAGCCCAGGCTATTGGTATCCACCCCAGGTACCTATATGCTGCGCTTGAGCATCACCAGTTTGCTGCCTACAAGCAAAAGGTTGAAGCCCGCCAGAAGAAGGCTTACCGCTACTTCCACGACGGTCTCATCAACAACACCATGTTCCGCGCCAAGGACAAGGCACCATATGAGGACGAGAAGATGCAGGAGATTTTCCTCAACCCACAAGCTCGTGTCACCGTCGACAAGAAGACATCGACATACAGCTACCCGAAGAACCCTGCACCGGCCCCTAAGAAGGACAAGAAGTCTCAAGAAACTATGAAGATGCTTGAGCAGCTTACGCAGGCTACTGCTTCCGCCAGCTCTAAGGTCGGTGTCGATGTTGAGAGCCTCAGTGCTCTGAACATTGAGAATGACACTTTCATTGAGCGCAATTTCACCGAAAAGGAGATTGCATACTGCCGAAAGGCTCCCAACCCCCAAGCAAGCTTCACTGGCAAGTGGTCTGCGAAGGAGGCCATTTTCAAGTCTCTTGGTGTCAAGGGTGAAGGTGCTGGCGCTCCTTTGAAGGACATTGAGATTGTCAACGACGAGTCAGGAGCGCCGTCAGTCCAGGTATGTGATACAAACTCAGCTATTTTCTCGGAGTATTTTCTAATGTCACCACAGCTGTACGGCAAAGCCGACGAAGAAGCCAAGCGTGTCGGCGTCAAGAACATCAATATCAGCATTAGCCACTCTGACGACCAAGCCGTCTCAGTTGCCATTGCTCAGTTCTAGGCATACTATGGCTACTAGGAGAATGATTGGAAATGAGGTAAAAAGCGGGCACTAATATGGAAAGACTATGCTGGTACACGCGTCATTCCCCAAGCTCGTTCTATCGAGTGCAGAGATGCCTTCCGAGCGTCTAGTTTGTCGCCGGCTTGGCAGGCTTGTTTGATGAATGTGTCATGATAAAGTTACGTTATGTATTGTAATGCAATAGAATATTGTTCAAACATAAATGGTATCAACTTGAAGCCAATGCAACATGAATACATGCCGGTACACGAGCCGGTGCATTTCACATTATCTATGGCTCTCGATGACGTGATATGCAGTAGCATGGCCGACTATCTCTCGACCAAGGGATACGGAACACGTCCGATAAGCTCACCAACGGAGGTTGAATACGCGAGCCTGGGCACCATGTACCCCGCTCGTTTCCCCGATTGGAAGAGTCTCGGACATGTGGTTGAGGCTGACCTGCAGCGGGTGGCTGCATGAGCGTAAGCTGTTGAACACGTTGGGACACGCAGGATCTCGGACAATGTCGGGTACGTGTGGGTCACCATTGGGCCTGCACAAGTCATGGTCAGTACCGCGAAGAGTATAGCGTACATTGCGGAGGTTTACAATGGATATACAGACCAGTCGGTCTGAGTGTAAAGATAAGAAGTACCGACTACTTGGTTTGTTGAGAGAGAAGTTAACTTTTCCCAATCAAAAGGGAATGCAATTCGGTTGACGTACAATCTAGCAAGGATACAAGCTGCGAAAGAGGATTCGGGTATGGGAGATATGTGTATTATCTTTGTACTCTCGATGTATCTGTGAAGTACCAAGAAAACTGGATTGCCAAGACAAGTAAGTAGTCTACTAGTGCAGCTTCATGACTTTTCATGTTTTCCCTTTTCTACAAAAAAGTTCGGGAGATGGAGCAAGAAAGTAGCTTCTATATGAGCCGTCCTTTTTTTCTTTAAGCGCAGAAGACTTCTACAGTGTAGTAGAGCTACTTACTACCACGGATAATTCCTCTTGACCCACATCAAATTCTTCTCACTCGGCCTCCTGCCCTGCTCCACCAACCTCGTCCCTTTACTATGATCCTTTGGATCCACATACGCTACCATAGGACAATCCTCGCCCTTTGTGATGCACCGCTGATTCGAGTACCCGGAGACACTGGCATAATGCATGATGCTCGTGATGTCAAAGCCGGCATTCGACCTGATGGGCCAGCCTGGCTCCACGCGGTTTTTGACAAAGGCGGCGCACGTGCATCCGTATTTGATGGTTAGACGGATGGAGCGGCAGAGTTTCTCGGGCGTGATGAGGGGGCCTTTGTGGGCGTGGACGCGCTGCCAGCATGCGTCCCAGTCTGCGAGGGATTTGGGCGTGACTTTGAGGTAGGTGTCGCGGTCCGGGTGGTTGTGCTCGTGGGCCATGCCTGGTTGGTTTAGTAGCTATTATTATATCTGTTGCTACCAATCTTCCCAATGTGGAATGGAAGTTCGCAGTTGATGGGGTAGTGGGGATGTCGACTCACCTAGCACGTGGCCGAGCTCATGCATGACTCCAAGCAGTGTGTATCCGTTGGCAATATAGACGAGTTGCTGCCAGGGCTTCCCGTTGCGTGTCAGACCAACACTTCCGCCCCAACCTACATTTTCGGTAAATTCGATCGCAAGAGTGTCCCTGGGGACCTGGTCGTTCCAGGCATCACGGTTGGCGGGAGAAGCACAGTACAGTGGCTTTCCCTGGGCGTTCTTGCGCTCTTGGAAGCTGATGGCGTGGCCGGCGGTGCGACTCGCTGGGCCGCCGAGATATCTGCGAGTTTTTTAAGTTTCTGTTTGAAGCAAAAGAGATGGAAAAAAGGGTATGCTTGGTGGTTACTTACTCAATCCACTTGGCCATACCGTTCTCCACTATGTTCCGGGTGTTCCTGCGATCATGCTCTTGTGCAAAGCAGTATGGGATAACAACTTGATGCTCGCCAGTGCGTGGCCATGGAATAGGACCGCCTTCAGTTCCCCAGGCATCGGTTGAGCCTTGACCGTTCAAAGCTTCATGCTTCTCCAGCTCGGCTATGTAGTCGGGCCAGTTGGTAGCCTTTGTACCGTTGTCATAGACGGGCACTGGAGTTCCGCAGAAGGGACCGAATTTGGGTACAGTCTCCTGAGCGAGAGCTGTAGCTAAGAGGACAATGAATGTTAAGAAGGGGAGTGCAATCATGGTTTTGGCTTGGTTGAGAATGCTGAGAGCTGTTAGGTGGAACTGGCTACGATGGCAACAGTGCTTTATATAGTTGAAGGACACGATATCTGTTGTAGAACAGCATTAGTGTGTGCGAGTGAAAGGGGCTTAGCGAGATATGAGTGCTCAAAGCGAAAACTGTAATGGCTCGAGAATGAGTGAATGATATGTGTAGGCAGCAGTGAGTTGGATACTGAGACTTACAACGAGATATCGATTCAGTCTCGCTGATTCATAAAGTGACGTCATCTTTCTCACCACTGCGACGTATCTTACATACGTTGAACATATCTAGAGACCATTACTTCAGTGGCCTATCCTATTCGCGATTGACTTTGTCTATTGAAAATCTTCACTGTGCAACACTACCGTTGGACTCAAGACATAATCAAAATCAGCCCACCTTATTTCACAGAACGTATCGAGATTCTTCAAAGAACTAATCGCCCCTAGGCAAAAACATCCATTTCCCTAACGCATAGGAGTTTGTAATAATGTGGAAATCAGGTCTTACGCTGGAACCTTTACACGTTGTGGAATTTGAAGCGCTCCATGTTGATCTACAGCACAATACATAAGCATATATAGAAAGTCTGCGTCAGCATACTCTACTCTAGATTAAAGGCTCAAGGAATACGCTCTTACATGGACAGTGACGAGGATATCGAGGTGTCAAGCCATTCTCTGACTGACATATGTCTTCTGCTCCCAGAAATGAGCTTCAAAAGTTTCCAGCGGCTGTTACTCGCCTCTGGTGTGTGGTTCACAACCGCTCTGTAAATGTCTTTATAGAAAACTGGAAAAAGAAATCAGCAGTGAATATACATGAACAGGACGCTGTGATAGAGCGGATGCTGTACCTCCAATCGCTATCACTGCATGACGAGCAACATAAGGACGTATCAAGTGAAAGCTGGGAGCAGCCCTGAGATTGAATCGGCGTCTGAGATAGTTGACAGTCATTGTAGCAAGGTAAACGGATTGCCCAACCATAGCCTTTAGCGGAAATGGCACTAAGATTCGAGCGCGGAGTGTTTCATTGTGAATAATGTCTCTTATTCTCAACAAGCAATGACAGCTTTCTTCTCTATGTACTATTATTCATGCCAGGGGTGTAGATTCGGTCGGTCTCATTGTCTAATAGGGCTGACGTGGTATTCTTAGCAACCTAAATTGTAGCTTAGCTCTACGACGCAGATAGAGAACAATATCATTCTACCCCTTCGCGTGCTGTATTAAGATGGTAACGACTTGAGAAACCCAGAGAGAGTGCCACTAGTATTAAAAAGTTCTTTGATGCATAGTACTAAGGATGTAAGGATATAGGTTAAGTTGGTATCTCGGCAATTATACATAAGAGCGTTAGACCGGCTCCTAATCTCGCATTCTCTGCTAATCCAAGAACTGCGCATGTTGCAGGGATAAGAGAAGTATACGCGGTGGCGTTTCTTCTTGCATTCTTTTTAAGGGATCGACCATTGTCACTTTAAGAGTCTCATGTTGTCCGTACAAATCAAATGTGGCGGTGTACTATGACGCACCGTGCTATTGGTGTCTTGCCCTTTCTGTATTACAAATACTGCTCTCGTTAAGTCCGAAATCGTCCACGTAGTGAGGCATCCGGAAGAGCCGGATCAACGAGCAAACGGACGAGCTAGATTAACAAGCATCTACGTAAGCCAAATGTTGTGAGCAGCGGCAACAACTGCCAAGCATGGGATAGTTATCAATATAGATATTGGGAACATTACGCAGCTAGAGCAACAATTGTATTGGATTTAGTGGAATTCAGCGCTAATTTCTTGGTTTCCGGCTATTTAGGTTCCGTGATACTAGGGCGGTTACTTTGCTACATGACATGCATCATATCTTGTGATTTTGAAGCTTTTGAAAAAGGTAGAGAATTATATATTCCTATTTACTCGCCACAAATGCCTGCCCCAGAACCAATCCATTTTCCAACCTTAACTCGCAAAACACCAAAATGCCAGCGGACCGCCTCTTCCAGCCCCTGAAGGTGGGCACCATGGATCTCAAACAACGTGTCGCCATGGCTCCTTGTACACGCTTCCGCGCAAACAATAAGCATGAAATCTTACCTATGGCTGCACAGTACTATGCTGAGCGTGGCTGCGTGCCTGGAACACTCCTTATTACCGAAGCGACATTAATTTCGAAACAAGCTGGTACTTTCGACAACGTACCTGGCATCTGGTCACAAGCTCAAATCGACGCTTGGAAGGTCGTCACTAATGCCGTTCATGAGAAGGGCTCGTATATTTATGTCCAATTGTGGCATCTCGGACGTACAGCAGACCCAAAGGCCTCGGAGAAAGAAGGCATCACCATCAAGTCTTCTAGCGCTGCACCTCTAGGTGAAGGTTTCGGAATACCAAAGGAAATGACTGTCGAAGAGATCAAAGAGACGGTCGAGGAATATGCTCAAGCTGCAAGGAACGCTATCGAGGCCGGTTTCGATGGCGTAGAAATTCACGCTGCACACGGATTCCTCATCGACCAGTTCCTGCAAGATAAATGCAATCAACGTACAGACTCCTACGGCGGCTCCATTGAGAACCGCTCCCGGTTCGCTGTAGAGGTTACACAGGCTGTCGTTGACGCCGTTGGCGCAGAGAAGACTGGTCTCCGGTTAAACCCCTACAGCGACCTACACGGCATGAAGATGGATGATCCGATACCTCAGTTCACCGACATCATCAAGAAGTTGAATGTTTTCAATCTTGCCTATCTTCATCTTGTCGAACCACGTGTTGCCGATGCCGACAACATCGAACCCGCCGAATCAATTGAACCCTTATTGCCGCACTTCAATGGCACATTGGTCATTGCTGGGGGTTTCAAGCTCCACAATACCAAGGAATATGTGGAGAAGCACAAGGATACGGATATTATTATTGCGTTTGGACGTCATTTCATCTCGACACCTGATCTGGTATTCAGGTTACAGAAAGGAATCGAATTCAACCCTTATGATCGTGAAACCTTTTACTTCCCGGGGAGCGAGAAGGGCTTTAATGACTATCCGTTTAGTAATGAGTGGAAGGCAGCGCAAGCACCTTGAAAGAGAGGAACTCTAGAAATATCTCACTATACTTAGAAGGGTGATTTCTTGGAATATGAATAGATAGATCAATGAAGACCATTTTTAGAAATCATGTTTTTGCATGTTGCGGCCATAATGAAGTAGCCTATGGCTGTACAAGCTGTGCGATGTAAATTTGGGCTCGCTATCCATACGCTGTCCACTATACCAGTGCATAGAGTAGTAGCAGACCGTGGAGTGATTTAGTGCTAGGAATCTCCAGGGTGAATTTGTTCAGTTTCCGCACATGAGATGAACAGGATGTCTCACTAGTAAAACAAGAAGGAGAATCATTCTGAAGTATACTTGTTGAAAAGAGATAGCCTCTGAACACCATGTAATGTAAATATCTCTGTAACATTGTTGTGGCAGAACTCATATTTCGATGGCAGCGAGTGGCTGAGCCTTCCCATCCTTGACTAGTTAAATTCCCCCTACCTGTCTGTAGGTGAATCTAACTCTGTTGTTACACAGTGATGGAGATAGTTTAACCCCGCTCTATAGAACAATGCAATGTCCCATGAGATTCCTGACTCTGTGTCTTGGATGAGATGATCGATGTTTCTTCACAAAGCTTAGAGTTATAACTGTCACCCACTGTGCCGATATCTACAATCATTGTGTGAGACAATCTTCTATATAAAAATGTTTACTACTCCCTAGAAGGCTAATATTATACAACAACCTCTACGATCAAAGACAAATAGAGCAGAATGTCTCCATTCATCACCATGTCTAAAGAGTCCGCCAAACCTACAAAGCTCACCGTGCCCCTGAAGTCCGCCATGCGTAAACCTTCACCTATACCCGAGAAGCCTGCCACATCTAATCAGCTAAGCCTGCGTAGAAATTCCACTACACCTAAACAGCCGACCAAGCCCGAAAAGCCCGCCATACGTAGAACTTCATCCGTATCAGGAAAGTCTGCCATATCTAACCAATCAACCGTACGTAAAGGCTCCGCTACATCTAATCAGCTGGGCGTGCCTAAGAAGCCCGTCACGCCTGTAGCTTCACCCTCATCAGTGTTTAGAAGGCCCGAAATGGCTAAAAAGCCCCCCGTGCCTAAGCAAGTTCGGAAGAAGCGGGTAACATTTGCCGCAGACACTGTTTTTGAGCCAGGACGTCGGGTTAACGAGTTCTGGAGGTTTGGGTCGGTGTACAAAGCGGGGAAGCATGCACCTGTTATGGGCGGGGGATAGCTCGATACCAGTTTGAAGTCAGACATCTTGGAGATGATGCTGAATCTCAAGGTTTACGCAACGTATACTGTTGATAGCATGGCTGAATTCAACGACATCCATGATGAGTTTGTAGCGTACATGGAAGAAGGCAAGCCGGTGACTCCGGGAAAACGCAGTAAACTTCGAGACCATGAACTCTGCCTCGAGGTCATGGATGAGTTTGCAGAGTATCTTGGACGCTGTAATGCTAATGGTTCGACCTTGGCTAGAGATGAGCTAGCACAAGCAAAAGTCTTGGTTGTCTACCAGGGCCCAAACGGCGGACTCCTTGGCTTCCAGTTTCTTAAAGACACGTGGGACGATGCGGAGGCTGCGGAGTACCTGGATCAGTTGAAAGATGAGATCCCTCCAGAGAATCAAGGTCCATCCCCGAAAGATGTTCTTGCCGAGACGCGGAAACCGTAGTTTCAGTCATGCAGTTATGGACCCACATGTCAAAGCAATGCTTTAGAGTCTTTGCGTATGAAAATAGCACAGTCAAAACAGTTTGTCTTTTTTTAGTCCATAGAATGATATAATATACATTATCCGCACATCGCCTATCTTTCCATTTTAATTTATCATGCCGTTGGTCGTGTTGTTGAACCTTGGAGGCCACGGGTTTTGCTTCGTGATGTTAGTGGTCGTGAGCGGCCGTGCCGTCCCGAAGTAGTGATAGTGGCCTACTAACCCTGCTTATCCGGAGTCTTGTGGAATTTTAAATCGCCGTAAAAGCAGCATGACTTCTAGTCTACCCCACGCGATGATCAAAAACTGGATCAAAGCCGCTAGTTATGCGCACCTCCTCTTCAAGAGAAGAAGTGATTGCGAAGTACTAAAATCCCATTGCCGTTGTCGAGGAAAATGAGCAGTAGCGCACCTGCCGAGTTTGGGCATGATTGGCATATATTTATCAGCGTCAAGTAAGTCTGCCAAGATTGCCTGATATAAAATATGGTCATGGGTTTCTGACATGTCGCAATTGGCCTGCCAAGCGCATCTAGAGTGCATTCGTCAAGAATGGCGGGCGCGGATATCTAAGGAAGTTTTATCTGCCCCCATATTCTGGTAAGGTTATGACGCACGATTCTTAAGCGCTGTCGGTGTTTTTCGACAATGTCACCCAGTGAGCCTATAAAGCCTGGAGAAAATAAATGCCAAGAACAGCAAAGTGGATTTGAGCAATGCACGGTACAAAGAGATCGTCGTGGGGTAGTGCATGATAGATAAACAGGGCTGGCTTGAGGAGTTACGTTAGTATTAGCATCACTAAACCACTGTTTCAGGAATTGCTGCTGAAACTTAGCAGATCGAGGTTGATAATTGTATCGTCCCACACCCGCAGAACGCTCCGTATTTCTGAAGAACGTGATCAGCAGTCAAAGCCGAAGCTTCGCTGAATTAGACTGGGACGGACCGATGCAGGGCCGACCTTTTACGGGTGGTGGAGTCTCCGTGCCAGGGTGGTGCTAGAGCAGCGCATCATGTGAGCATCATAGTTCACATAACAACTAAGTCTATCACGTATCCGTAATAATGTGCCAGGAGTTCGTAGTCATTGATGTATACACATTACATGTTATCGTTGTTATTGTTATTGTTCGTTATTTACAGAATCTTGCTGAATCAATCAGTCAAGACACTGATCGTGGTCACCTTCTGAACCGCGCCATCAAGTCCCCTCTGATCATTTTCCTCAGATGCTCATTGAACCCGTACGTGAGGGCGTTTGCCAGTCCAATGAATTGCGTTGAACATTGAAGGATGGTCAACGTCTGACTTTTGTGCCCTGATGCTTCTACAAGACGATTGATCAAACCAGGCGCCCAGAGGATGACGTATAAGATAGGATATGCGTTGAGAAGCAGCATTCTCTGGATTTCCTTTTCGACGTTCCGGCTGGTAGCTCCATTATAGAGATTTCCAGTCAAATTGGTCGGAGGGCCCTGTGCTCCAGCTATTGCTGTTTCCGTCCTGGCAGCTTCAACGTCGCGTTCGGAGTCTACTGCGGGATGTGCGTCTGTGATAGCAACTAGAGTTAGTTTAAGATTATAATAGAAAAAGATCTAGAAACAAGGGGGTGATGAAACAGAAACGAAAATGTGGAAAAGGGAGGAGATGACATACATGGTGAGCTGTTGGGAGCGGGCCCTTTTGATGTTGTATCACTTTGGATACTGTCGTCCTTGTCCGCTTCAACGGATGGTGCGGCAAGTTGTACCTTTCCAACGCTGCCGCTTTGGGCGTGTTTCACTTCGTAACGGTACTCGACATTGATTTTATGTAGCTCCACTTCAGATTCGCTCTTCAGCTGGAACGCATCGTTTCGACGGAATTCCCGGCGCCTAACAGAACTTCCTGGGTCGTACGATTTTCCCACGCTGTGCGCACGCAAGGTTGAAAAGTGCCTCTTCATGTAAACCCATATGTAGACATATATGCCAATGGTGATGAAGATGATGGTAAATCGCCATGCATGAGCCAGGCCATAGCGCAGGTCTGTTCGTTTGGCACTTATCCAGCACCAATTGCCACTGACGGGGACGATTTCGTTAAGTCCTAGGGCAGTACATGCTGTTTGTTGAAGTCAGCTTTGACTTAGGTACTCGGGTGCAATATGAATTACATGATATAGTGGGCATGATCCAGCAAGATGAGCAGATGAGGATCTTCTTCAGGGTAGAAACATTGGGCATGTAAGTCTTTCGAGTAATGGTAAGAAGTGTAACGATGGCGATGGCCAAGATGGAAAAGTCGGCCGCCTGGGAATTTGTCAGTGAAGGATCCAAGAGAGTGGACATCGGGGTTTGAGCTGGCTTACCTGAACGGACCACTGGCCCACCCAGCCATTTAAATTACAAGCGGCGCCATCGACCAAATCACGTTGATTTGCAACAACCCACGCTCCCGATACTGAATTGTTCACTGAGTTGATAAATTCTGTTGTGTGGTTAGTCTGACCTGTAGATGCGGCAATTAGTGAGTAAGGCGTCGTACCAGCGAGAGCGAGATTCAAAACAAGTACGTGACGGAAAGAGCGTTGTTGGTCTGCGTAGACGACATAGCAGAGAAGAACGCACGAGGTGGCAACGGCGGAACAAAGGCTGCCCACAAGCGTAGGGACCGCAACACTCCAGGTGATGGGCATGATGAGACAGTTGCGCAGTTGTGAATAAGGCTTGAGGTACTTCAACAACAACTGGCTAAAGACTGCAGATGGGCATGCGTAGGAGGCATGGCGATATATGTAACATGGAGGGTAGCGAACGCATTTAGCGGCGAAAACCGTATGATTAGGAGGGCAGTCAAGCCTTGGGGGGGACTCATGCAGCCGCACACGCAGGTTTTACCACCCATTTCCCACTACATACGGTAGTCTGATGTTTAGGGCGGCGGTCGTGCAGAGTTTCGACTATCTCGCTATTGAGCCGAATGTCTGTATCACCCGCATACATGGGCCAGGGACCCCTACAGGCCGTTGACAGCCGAGGAGCGTGCTCCGCAGACGCCTCGAAGAAGTGGTTCCTGGCGTCCCTGAATGCGGCTGCGCGTGAACTGGTGGTATGCACGAAGCAATTCAATTCTAGTTTATTTTGAGAGAGTGGAAAGGGGGTGAATTGGATCGATCGAATATGGTTAGTAGTTGCCACTGACGATTAGAGTAGCCGCTGGAGTTTGTCCGAATAGCACTTTTAGCTCTCCTGGCTCTGCCTCGGGCCTTGCCTTAGTCTATTGCCCTTGCAATGCCTTTGCTTG